AAATATCGTTGTTTTTAATTATGGCAAATATTTTATTACGTCAGTGTAAAACAAAGCCTATGGGCTATACCAATTCAACAAATGCGCCGTTTACGTTGATTACAACGACCAAAAGTCAACATTATAAAAAAAAAAACTCACAAAACTAGGAGCGAAGTATTGTACAACTGGGCTTTTAGTTTTTCCCTCTGGCGTCAGTATTTTTTAAGAGAACTTTGAAATTTTAAAGATATGATTGGTTCCAAAACTTACTAAAAGATTCAGTGCACAAGGCCTTTTCTGAAATACTGTTGGAAAAGGTGCCAACAGTATTTCAGGAAAAGCCGAAAGAAATTCAGAAAAACACAATTATATTTCAGAGAAACTGTAATGTATTTCGGAAAAGATATTGTGTATTTCAGTTAAGGTTAAATGAAATTCGGTAGAACGCAATTGTATTTCAGGAAAACTAAAATGTTTCAGAAAACCACAAGCGTTCATTCATTTCAGAAAAACTCAAACATTAAATTGTAACAAATAATTAAAACCTAGTAACAGGTCTATTCTGCGCTGGTAATAAACATTTTGTAACCGGTAAATAAAGTTCCTGTCAGTTTTTAAACCCTTTTCGCATTCTGTGTACTCTTGTAACCGGTAAATTTTGTTACTATCTCATAAGCTGGTAACAAAGTATTGCCCCGTGAAATATGCAATGTCAGAATTTCCACAATTCTTCATAGCTGAATTGCTGAATATTTTAACTGCCTTACCAACGTACTTAGAATCGCGGTGATAAGAACTGGTAACATTTTTTCGTAATAAAATTTCCCGGCAAAATCGTTCTTACGTTTCGATATGGCTTAGTAACTTAACCTCACTTGTTCGGCAGTTCTATTACGGTCACGCATTTTAAAGTAGTAGAAAAGGTACTAATTATATATTACGTTTAATCCGTTTGTGCATACTATTTCAAAATAAATGTAGAAAACCATATAATTACGGACTTATAAGCCTGAATATATGTTTGTATCGGCAGCTCCACACGGCTTCGTCATATAATAGAGCTTATAAAAAAGTAAAAAAATAAGGCAAGTTATTATAAGAATGTAAATGATTTTTTAAAATAGATTAAAACACATACATAAATATCTCAAAAATATATCAGTAGTCCATTAGGCTCAATATTATGACAATGCAGCAAAAGTTATTTAATATAAAAAATCGGTTGTTTGATTACCAATAAAAATTCGAAAAAATATTCAAAATCAAGTTTTTGTGTTTCAATTTGTTTTGTGCGAATGTCTGCTTCACGATATTAACGCATACGGATAACTTAGAGACTTCAAAATGTTTAGTTCGTATGCACTATTTATCTCTTCGTACGATGAGACCTCATGGGAAATAACTAATTCCACCTGGGCCTCTTTTTAGACGGGCAGACATGCATAAAATTTTGATACTTTTTGATAATTTTTAATAATTTTCTGAATATAAATTTTTTGACGTTGGCGTGTCAAATGAAAGCTTTTGGGTCTTTCTGATTGGCCGGCGCAGAAAGCTTTCTGATACAACTCTGCGCTGAACTGGTTTTCAAACGACTTAAATGATTTCACATTTTTCCAACAACAATTGCATGCGATTTAACTTGTTTATGAACATGTTTTGTTCATTTAACTGGTTCAAGCCCATTTAACATGTTTAGCTCGTCAATTTGAACGTAGTATTAGGCTCAATTGCTTTTGATCATGTCAAAATCCTTCAATCAATCTCTCAAAAATAAATTCTATATTTCAGGTACATATGTACTCCAAAAACTAAAATAAAAATACTCTTCACTTATTCAAAGTGTCAAAGTATTTACATCTTTTTCATTGCTAAAGTCTCTAAATTTACTCGCATAATTTCCAAGGGCCTGTTTTTCAATGTCTGATTATCACTACCCCCCAGTTAAACATCATTATCGACGTTTTTGACAACATGCATGTAACATGTGATAAATAAAGTAGTCGTCGTATTTAACCGGAGCTTCTAATAAAACAAAACTGGCGGAGCAGGCGAACTTCGTCCCGCCCAAAATCTATTTTTTTTTTATTGAAACATTTTAGTCCAAGATTTTCAGAAACAATTGACGGTTACGATCTTATGCCCATATGACCACAAATGATATGGACATCTATAACGGTAACCGATTTACCAATTTAACCAAACTCGGTGCACTTAATAGCCTTGGCACGGAAAAGCAATTCGTTGAAAATTATTCAAATTGGACTAAAATTACACCCGCTTCCCGTATAACGGTAAATTTCAGAAATACCAAATTTCCGATATTTCAATAGCTCAGGACCCTAATTTAGTCCAAATTAATAGTTACAACAATCTCTTAACAATAAATAAGACTGTTATAGACTTTAACGAATTGGGCGTGGCAGCGCTCACTTTGGGAATACAAAGGTGTATCCCGGAATCTCGATTTCTACCAAACTTGGTTCAATTATTTCATTAAGTCTAACTCAGCATATTATCAAAAACGTTTGAAATCGGGAAAAACACCACTGCTTATCATGCAAAGACAATTTAGAGAAAGTGGAAATGTCGATATTGGTACCTGCGACGGATTTAGTATAAAGTTCGGTTTCGCCGGAACTTATAATTCTTGGCCTGTTTATTTCAGGGATCGTAAATAACAGTTACTTTTCAACAGTTAAACTTAACCAGATGTTTAAGTAAGTATTTACGTATTTGTTTCAAGATGGAAAATTTTGTTACCAATCACATGATCTATCTAAATATGCACATACAGTTGTTTAAATAACAAGAAAAGTATCTTCTTGACTTATATAAATAAAATTATCAAATTACTTAGTAAACTTTTTGCTTCGTGGCTGTTTTTTCAGGTGTTAACTACAACAAGCATATTCAGTTTGTCACATTTATGGATGAAAAAACAGTATATAACGGCGCAAAAACTCAAGTAAGGCACAGTTGAAAGTTTCGCACTGAGCATTCCTTACGACAAATATCAAAATGGCCAACAAATTCGTCTGCACTTTATTGCTTTTGATCGCGGCTACAGGCGCCCAAGCTGATGGAATTGTAGGTGGTACAGCTTCCTCTATTAGCGCTCACCCGTACCTGGTAAGCTTGCAGCTAGACGATGGAACCATTGTCTGCGGTGGTGCTTTAATTAATTCCAAAACCGTTTACACTGCCGCCTCCTGTGTGACTGACTACGATGTTAGCGCAATTGTCGTTGGTGTCAACAATGGTGCTCAGACAGTTAAAATCGAGTCATATATTTTTGATGACAATGCCATCGGTATCTTGAAGTTGGCCGAAGCCGTAACTGTTAGCACCTACCTTGGATTGGCAAACAGCTTACCTTCAAGTGGTGTACTCATCAGTTGGGATGCAAACAATTCAGTGGCAGAAGTATCTGAAACTATCACCAGCGCCACGAAATGCGTTACTCAAGGCTACAAATACGAAGACGGTGATCTTTCCAATTCCGAGTTCTGCGGTTTGGCTGCGAACGAAGCTTGTGATGAATTGGCTGGAAGTCCTTTGGTGGCTGACAATAACTTAGTTGGTGTTGTATCCTGGGGTTATGGTTGTGCCAACAAAGACAGCCCAGCTGTTTACTCGAAAGTCGCAAGTGTTTTGTAAAAAGTACTTATATAATAAATTATAACAATTTCAGCATACTTTTAATCAAGGAATGAAACCGAAACCGTAACCGTTTAAAACCGTTTCGTTTTTCAAAACCGAAACCGAAACCCTAACCGTTATCTTGACCTGCAAAGGAACGATACCGAAACCATTTCAATCACAGGTTTCAATCGGTTTCCAGAAATTTACAAAAATAATAGATAAAAATTTCTTTGAAATAAATGATTTATTTAACCAAAATCAGCAACATTTTGCTAAAATTCTTGTTAAGTAGTAAATAAGTATGGCAAGGTAACTTTTCGCAAAAGTCTGCTGATGACTTTGTTGTTGTGAATCGATAATCGATTAATTATATTTAAGTAGTTTCTTTCCCGTACGCAATGCGAGATCCCGCGTGTGCCCAGAATAGCCCAGAAATCATGCCTGTACTCAACAAAATGGGTAATAGAGAGCGAAAATTCGAGCGTATTCGATCGTAAGTGTATTCTTCTTCCTGCCCGAAACAGCCCGAAATTTTCTCCGAGTAAAAATGGATAAAGTGTCATCATATCAGCTGTATTGTGTTTACATGTTGCCTGCATTTACTTGGTGCTTTTAAGGAAAAGTGAATGGCCTGTTGATGTATTTTCAATCTATGTACTTAAAATCAAATTTGTGAACCCAAAATTCAATTTCCAAGTGTTTGCATTTAATACCATGTTCTGACCGACAACCAAAACATTTTTCCTTCTTTTTCTTTTCATTTAGAACCTTTAACTTTCATTCTTATTTTACTTAGGCCAGGCAATTAACAATAAATCCGAAATGGCGTATTAAAGATGATAAAATATGACTTCCACTCCGATAAATAATCGAAAAAAACTAGTGAAGACACCGATTGGAATGAGTGGAAAGTGAGTTTTCAAGTAGTTTTCAGCGAAAACTGGTTTTCGTTTAACAGATTTTATATGGACGAAAACACAAGTTTTAGGTCGAAAACCAGTTTTAGCAACGAAAACATGTTTCCGATGTCGGTCAGAACATGGTATAAGTGACAAAAACAAGAACAACGTGAATCAGCTGTTTCTCGACTTGTGGGCTCGAAATGTGGGTTTTTGCGTTTCCGTACTTCTGAACTTTGTTCCATTTTTGAAAGAAAATGTTTCTCTTATCCTCTAATTACCAAATCCGGTCCGGATTGTTAGGGAAAGAACCTAGTGTTGATATTATCAGTGAACTGTAATTTTCGATTTTCTTTCCTCAACGTTTAAGACGTGATTTAAATAATATCAACAAAATTTCTGTGAAAAAACCGAAACCGGAACGAAACCGAAACCAAAACCGAAATAAATTTTGAAGAACGAAACCAAAACCGAAACCGAAAAACTTGGCAAAACCGAAACCCAAACCGGAACGTTATTTTGAATCGGTTTCATTCCTTGCTTTTAAATATCGTTTTTAATTATCGCAAACTTTGAAAGATATGATTGGTTGCAAAACTAGAAATAGAAAATTCAGTGCAGGGCCTTTTCTGAAATACTGTTGGAAAAGGTGTCAACTTTCCTTGTAAAGGGTACTTTGTTTTGGAATCACATGCCTACCAAATTTTAATGCCATATTTCGCTGGCTTTGATTGTATGTACTGCCTGAATTTCGTTTGCCTAGATATGGGAATATCGATTATATAGATTTTGGTTGCTAAAATTCCAAATATCACGAATTGACGCTGCTTTGTCGAAATTTCGACGATGTTCATTAGTACGACTGCCGTCAAAACGAATATGTCGCGCTAATGCAACGAAACGATGCTAAGACATGGCAGCTCTAAATTTAGGTTTATTATCCGAACGCCACAAAATATCTGCTATTTGTAATTGTTATGTGTAACACCAGTTGCAAAATGAATCCCCAATCGTTTCTTTTATGATAATGCATGATACATGTGATAATCATGATACAAAAAGAAGGTAGTTTCATTTCAAAATTTTTGACAAAAAATAAGTTTTTGAAGTTTCATAAATTGTACAAATTATGAGCTACCTTGCCACATTGATATCAATGAAACAATACATGAGAGGGTTTAATGTTGTGCGTTGGAAATTTTCGGTTATTTGTAAAATGATTTTTTGGTGGGAAGCGGAAACGGAAGGTGCGTGTCACCAAAAACTTACTAGAAAGAGAACAGTATAAACTTTAAGATAATTCACCTTTCGCCTCCCTGCCCCTTCTACAGACACTCGGGGCCCATTTCAAAATGGGGTAAAATTAGCATTTTCGCAAAGAAAAATTAAACTCGTGTTAGCCCATCAGCAGTGGGTACTCTTTTCCATTTTGGTAGCCTTCGGCCGCGCTTGTGAAAATAACCTCATCAGTCCAACTCTGGTTACGCCATCCACAGTATATTTGGGCAAAATTTACCTCCAAATTTACAAAAAAAGTGCATATTTTAAACCGAGACCTTTGTTTTAACTTAAAGCTTAGTCGTATATGTTAGACGTATATGTTAAAATTTTTTGATTCGGGTTACGGGTTTGAACACGATAACCCCAAATCATTGTACAAATTAGGGATGTTGCGCTTACAAAGCCAAACCAGATGTGTCAGGTTTTGCTAAAGCTTTTTAAAAATAGTTCTCCATTGTCATTCCTTTGGCTGTTTCAGAATTTGGGGAATCTGTAACTTCATCAGCGTTTTTCGATTTTAGTTTTTGTAGTTCATTTTTAATACTTTCTTCTGCGACTGGTTTGAGCAATCCGTGCCTATAGCGAGCTAAATAGGTGGATATGGAAAATAAATTATTGTTTTCCTGGAATCAAAATTATTAACAAAATTCTGTTTTCAAAGTCGTGGCTGTCAGCGGAATCGGATAAGAACACTGTTATTTTTTAAAAAAGCACCCCGTTTTTTAAAAACATTTGAATCTCAGATACTTACGTAATTCTTATCTTATTAAAGGTCAGACCTATAGTCTTTTAATTATTTGCGCATCGCTCCTCTTTATAGCCAGACTTTGATCATTTCTGCTGGAAATCCCTATTGAAGGAGCTTACTCTTTGACTTTAAATAGCAAAGATGGGACAGTATATATCCATCCGAAAAAATATTGCCCGACAAGTAAACAAAATTACTGTTCTTTAATTTTTTGCTAAAAATAAATTCCCCAAAGAGCCCCATTTGAAATTATTGAAACGAATATATGTAACATCAAAAACAAATCACGAAAATTTGGTTAAGAATTACAGTGCACCGCTTCTTTTTTTGTGTCTAGTAGTTTTTTTTAAATTGGTCCAAAAAAATAATATTAAAGAAAGAAACCAATGCAGGTATTGAAAGAAGAGAAAACAAAAAATATTGTTAAAAAGGCTAGGTTCCCTTTTACGTACGTCAAAGGTCAAGTAGAAGTTGGAACTTGCATGACTGCCCATTGATTGCTCAGTTATAGCTGAAGTTATATAGCTGAAGAAATAATAAGTTTAAATACATTTTTGTCTAAGTTGATAAATATGAACAGTTTTGTTACACAAATACTCCCACGACCACAGGCAAAAATATTGGCTACAATTTGTCATTTTGTTTGCCATATATACGTTTTATCGGTGCACTTGCACAACATTCGTATTCGCAAAAGCTCCGCATTGATTATTGCGAATGCGAATGTTAAAATTAATGCGGAAGCTCCGCAGTTGCGAATGCGAATGCGAATATTCGCAACAACCCTGGTACCAATATACGAACCGTAACCAAACTGTCTTACTTATGCCATTTTCTAAAAACAAAAACTTTCTAAAATGAAACTGCAGTAGTTTTCATCTTATGTGGATAATTCTTGTCACAAATACCTGGTTTCTTGCTTATATTTATGCTTATATTTATGTATATATATTTTTGAGCCGCGCCACACCTTAACAGAAAATTCCGAGAATCCAAAATTGGTACTGTTACAAGTTGCATGGCATCATTTTAACTCGATCTCCATTCTCTTCCACGGATAACGGTACATCGGTTAGAGGTTTAAAAATATTTTGTGTCAGCAATTTGTCATCAAACTGCATTAAATCGTATTACGTACTCTATCCTCTATCCAAAAAACTTTATTTTCGAACGTTTGCACAGGTGTATCAAATTCCTTCAGTTTGAAAACGCGCAAGACTTTTTAATGTTTTCATCCAACTTCACTAACTTAAAATTTTTTTTTTACTTTTTCAAGAAACAAAAATTTTTCTGCTAGTGAATCTGGTAGCATGGTTTTAATGAAATGGCATAAACTTATTAAAAGTCAAGTGGTCGGCAACAACAACGAATGTCAATAAATGAAACTACCAAGGCGAATTTATATAAGGTGGTGTTATTAGCTCAGCTGATTTTGTGTATGTGTTTCGCCGCACGGCTTCTGATATCAAATTGAAAAATTTTGTTTGAATTTCTACACACACTCTTACAGATTTTGACAGTTTATGCCGCCAAAGCAAAAAACAAAATACATGTAAATTTTTGTTTTTGTACTCCTGCTATCACCTTATATTAATTCGCCTTGGAAACTACCTTCTATTTTTGTATCATGTGATAATGAATGAAATGTTTTGAGTAAACAATTTTTTTAATAACTCGATCGCAATAGAATTTTTTTTTTGGTCCTGCACGATATCGCATATTCAACTGAGCTCCATCCACTGCGAATTCCATATCATTCTCTATAGCTCCAATCAGTAATAGGATTCTATAAATCGCTGCGCTAAATTTCTAGCGCTAAAAAAACATTTAAATGAATAAGATATGGGCCTAAAAATGTGCAACGCGAAGTAGAAGGGGTTCAATATAAAATCGTAAGCAAAATGATTATGTCGAGCCATAACCGCCAAAATAACGTAAGCGAAATATTTTTCAAAATTTTCTTTTTGATGCAGAAATTTCCCAGATCATCTAAATGGCTTTCTGCACCAAAAAAAAAAAAAGATTGAAAAAAGTGTCGCTTACATTTCTTTGGTGGTTAGGGCTCGATGTTATGTTTCCCTGGCGGC